TGTTTATTGTAAATTGTTTGGATTGCATTTATGAAATTTCCCCCAAAGTCCATTTCCACAAGCTGCTGAAACTTAAATTGCCAGTTTAAATTGTCAAATGCTTTTTGTGCGTCAAGGAATATTAACACCATCTGTTTCCCTGGATGAGTTTCATAATATTCTAACACATCAAGGATCATTCTTAAGCTGTTTTTTATCTGTTTTTTAGGTAGAAAGTCATTTTGATCTCTATGTATAAATTCAATCAGAAATTTCTTAATTCTTTCTGCCATTATCGAGGCAAATATTTTATAGTCTGCACTTAATAATGATATTGCTCTATAGTTTTTTATTTGTGTCAGATCAGTATCTTCATTAGGTATTAAAGTTGGCTTCAGTCCATGACTTTGGTATTTTAGCCCCTAGAAGAATTTCATTATATAGTTCTTTCAAAGTTGGACTTAATACATCTTCTAGTGATGTATAAAATTCTGCAGGTAGTTCATCTGGGTGTGGAATTTTATCCTTTTTTTACCATTTTATGGCTTCTATAATTTCCATCACTGATATTTTTCCATTTAATAAATTTCAAATATTCTCCGGAATTTTTGACAGGTCTACTTTTTTTAAGTACAGCTGTATTTTTTCTTTAGGGATTTCCTCTGCCTTGTAGAGTAGTAGTAATCTTTCAGGATTTTTTCATTGCGTCATTTTGGAACTATAATTCCCCTTTTAAATCTTGTAGCTTATTTATCATTCTTTTTTCTTTTTCTTTTTTCAATCTATATGCTAACCATCTCCCCGGTTTGTTAGCATTTTCAAAGAAATTCTGTTTAGTCCATTTAATCTGTTGAGCCATTATTTCCATCTCAGCCAAGCTTAGTTTATGCTTTATTATCTCCATTTGTTTCTTAAGCACTTTCTTTTGTGGATCTGTTTGTAGTTCTAATTCTAGCTTTCTAAGTTCTTCCCTCAGCTTTAATTGTAATTGTTTCTTTTCTTTATTCTTTTTAGCGGTATATTTATTTATTTATTTATTTATTTATGAGACTTAAATACCGCTTTAAGTGCAAGCACTCTTTAAGTGGTGTACACCAGTAAGCAATGTATATATATATATATATATATATATATATATATATATATATATATATATATATATATATATATATATATATATATTTACATTGCCCCCAACAATCTGGGTCCTCATTTTATCTACCCCGGAAGGATGGAAGGCTGAGTCAACCTTGAGCCAGGGAGATTTGAACCGCTGACCTGCTTTAGCCATGTCCCATACATTTTGAAGCAATGTTTCTTCCTTCTTATTTATTTTAAAGAAAAATTCCATTTCCTTTGTTGCTAATTGTAGAAATTCTTTTTCTTTCAATATAGATTTATTCAGGGACCATCTTGGTTTTTTCTTAATTCCTTTCCAAATCATTTTTATTGGGTTATGGTCTGCCCAAACGTTGGTTTCTATCTCTACTTCTTGCATTGTGACTTTCAATTCCAAAGATGTCCATATCGTATCAATTCTAGACCATGATTTATGACTATTTGAATAAAATATGTATTGTAATTTCTCTGGGTTTTTCTCTCTCCATATATCTTGGAATATCAAGAAATGTCCTAGAACAGAACTTAGTGGATTATAATCTTGGCATTTTTTTTTTTTCCTTTTTTGGGAGGGCACTTTCCCCCTTTTTTTCCTTGCCCTGCTGCTATTATTTTTTGCTTCCTCCTTTATTATCTTTAACTATTTTTATGATTTTCCTCTCCTAATTATTAGGAGCCCATTGGATTATAAAATTTGGCCATTTGGCTATTTGGTGGATTATAATATATGAATTAAAGATAAAGATAAGCATCTCAAACTTATCCAAACTTGGGAAAAAAGGATCCTCTGCTCCTGCCTCAACTTCTGCAAGTCCAGTATATCAGATCAATTACAATTCTCCATCAAGAGAAGACAGATATCCTCTAGAAAGATACCCAAGAATTTTGCAAGCAATTCAAGAGGCTAATGCTGCTCAGATGGCAGTAACAACAAAAACCATGAAGAGTTGAAAATTGATCTTGACAAAATGAATAAAAAAATTAATAATACAGATTCCCAAATAGAAAATTTTAAACAGATGATCACAGATAACCAGCAAAGAATTAAAAAAATAGAAGATATGTCAGCAGAGGTTGATCAGAAACTAGAAGCTTTAAAAGATGAAAATCAAAAATTGATGCAAATAAACAGAGAATTAGAAGATTCGTTAGCGGTCATAGAAATGGAAAAGACCTCATACTTTTTAAGATTCCAGAATATAATAGAAGATAAGGAAGAGGATCTTCTAGATTTGATAACTGAGTTACTGGCAGACACTTTAGGAACTGGAAAATCACAAATAGAAGGAGAATTAGATCAGATCTATTGAGTCAATTCAAAAACTAGAAGAAATAAAGTGCCTAGGGAAGTCCATGTTAGATTTCTTAAAAGATCTACAAGAGATGAGATTTTGAGAAAAGTAAGAGATGAACTGTTGAAATACAAAGAAAAAGAAATAGTAGTTCTCAAACAAATCCCTAGGAGGATAAGAGAGGCTCAACACCAGTTCCTAACTAGGAAACTAGCTGAAAAAGGAGTGAATTTCAGATGGTTGATTCCCAGAAGGAATCTTAATTTATTGGGACACTAAAAGATATAGATTGGACACACCACTTAAAGCACTGGAGTTTTTCTACAATTACAGATCCTTTTTGAAAAGAGGTGATCCTGAACCAAAGAAACAAGAAGAAACGGTAGTTGAGGGAGTGGCTAAACAAACAGAGGAGGAAGAAGTTAAAAAATGTACTCAGAAGAAGGAACAAGACCAAGAGACCAGAGATAGATAAGATTGACTAGAAGACTGAGACCTAGATATAATTGAAAGAGATGGAGGAGACCGGGATTTTATCAATAAATATAAATGGACTAAACTCTCCTTCAAAAAGGAGAAAAATCTTTACACGATTACAAAAATTAAAAATGGATATAATTTGCCTTCAAGAGACACATATTAAGAAACAACATTTTAAAATGTTAGAATAACCAAAAATTGGAAACTCTATTTCTCACTTGCATCTTAAAAGAAAAGAGAAATAGCCCTTTATATTAAAGAAAAGATGAACCCCAAACAAATTTATGCAGATGAAGAGGGGAGAATACTAATGGTGGAAATTATGATGGATCAAAAACAGATACTGATGGTAACAATATATGCACCTAATGGTAAGCAAGAGCAATTCTATCAAAAACTATATAAGAAAATATAGATCTAAATTATCAAAATCTTTGTATAATGGGAGACTTTAATGCAATAGTAGATGCTACTCTGGACTATAAAAGTGCCAAACAAGGGAGAAAAGGAGGAAACATACTACCTAAAGCATTTTCAAAAATGATAGAAGAATTCTGTAACCTGCATGTTCATTTCTGAATCGTGATTCAGTTTGTGGAAGTAGAAAACAAATTTCCAGTTATGCACATGATTATGCAATTCAATTTTTTTCAGAAAAGATTTCTGTTCAAATTACAAAGTTGTTTTTTTGTGCCAGTGATAACAAATGTATTCCAAGAAAACATTACGGAAAAATATTATTTTTTAAAAGTACTTGAAAGCATACTTTTTTCCTTTTTAAATGAATAATGTCAATGGACTATTCATATAAATTCAGATTTCCTTATTACTTAAAAATAGATTTATGGTCTAATGTCACTGTCTTTTTGGTTCATGCCTCTGTTTCCTTATTGTTCATCATCATTAATATTATTAATTCATTTAACAATGATCGTTTAAAAGATTACTATACCTAGAGGGACATGACCTACAACTTGGATGGTATGCCTTTCTGTGGTATGGGAAAAATAAAATACACAGATATTTTCAATATCATTACATAAGAAATGTTAGAATGAGAAAAGATAAAAGTGAAAATCTATATGAAAATACCTGGATGGCTTTCAACAATAGAAGCATTTGTTCACCCAATTTTAATAAACTATGAAAATATCGTGACCTATAAAGACATTTTGAATAATGAAGGAAAATTAAAACATAGACAAGAACTAGAAGAACAGGGTATTGAACTATCATGGTGGCCATATCTGCAAATTCAAATGAGATATGAAAAAGATGTTAAAACATCTGGATTTTATAAAGAACAGACAGAATTTGATAAGATATTATTGACCTCAGATGAAAAATTAATTAAGAAACTTTATAAATATATATTAAATTTAAAGATGGAAGAGGAACAAGTTAAAGAAACAATGATAACATGGGCAAAGAATTTTGGACATAACATTGAACTAGAAAACTGGCAAAGCCTTTGGGAAATAAATTCTAAAATAACAAAAGCGGTAGGGTACAAAGAAAATTTATGTAAAATGTTTTATGGATGACATTTAGCACTGGTGAGGTTAGCAAAAATGTTTAAAAATATATCAAGTAATTGCTGGAAAATAAACAAAAAACAGGCATTTATTACCCATCTTTGGTGGACATGCTCTAGAGCTAAAAGATTCTGGTTAAGAATATATACATGATTAGAGAAAATGATTAAAAACATATAGATTTTAAGCCAGAATTATTTTTGTTAGACATAATTGTAGGAAATTATGAGAAAGAGTGTATATATTAAGTGCAGCAAGAATTGTATTCGCTCAATACTGGAAAAATCAAGATTTACCAATCAAGAAGAAGTGTTAATTAAAAAAATCTTAGAGTAAGCAGAAATGGATAGATTGACACTGAAAATGAAAGAGAAGGAAGGTTCAGTTTATTTTAGAACATGGGATACCTTTTATCATTGGCTAGAAAAATGAGGTAGAGAGAAAGCAACTTAATATGTATTAGTAAGTTAAATGTTGGAACCCAGACAATATGTTGCTGATAAAATATTAAGCATGTGATTATAAAAATTAATGAAATATGTATAAAAACAATTATCATTATGGGTGGCAGCATGAAGTCTCAAGTCCCACTTACAGTTATGGCATGTGGCTCCATTGTATCCAGTTCCATCACAGGTGCAGCTGAAGCTATCCCATGTTTGTGTACACGTCCCTCCATGCTCACAATGATTGGGCACACACCTGTTGAGATATGAAACAGTGACAATTAAGCAAGGTTGAATGAACGACTGTATTCTGAGATTGCCAAATAGCAAAACCTCTTGTGCCAATCTGCTGTACTACTGCAATTAATCTTTGTTAGCTTTATGTGAATTAATGTAATTCATGATAGAACATGGCAGGTGCATAAGAAGTTGATGTATTGTACAATGAATGCCCCATTCACAGCTAACAATGGGTCAATGACAGAGAAAGAGATTAAAGAGATAATGATGGATCATGGATTTTTTGACACCATTATATTTTTAAAGGTCACAAACACACTTATTTTTTTAAAGAGGCAATTAGATATAGTATGAAAGTAATATTAACTTTCAATAGAAAGTGTACTGCAGTATGTATTTAAATCTTTTTTTAAAAAAGTTTTTTTTAAAGCTCATTTTACCTTATCAGCCTGTGAATCTAAAAGGAAGCAATAGTTGATGCCATTAAAAGTAGTGGGAATGTTGCTAGATTCAAAGGTATGTTTTGAAGGATCATGAACAAGTTAGCCTCTTTAATAATAATAATCCCTAGTATCATAAACTTATCTTTTTCTCTTATTAGTTGGAAGGCAAATTGTTTGTCTGCCATTTTGACAAATTCAAATAGATCTTCAGGTTTTTGTGATGTTTCTTTGTCATCATGTATACATTGATGGCATACTACCATAACAAAAATACCTGCATTCATGAATTAAGATATAAAGCATGCAGAAGAGTCAACAATGTAACAGAATAAGAGAATTGGAAGGGAACTTGGAGGTCATCTAGTCTAATCCCCCACTCAGCAAGGATATGCTATACCATTCCAGACAAATAGCTGTCCACTCTCTTCTTAAAAGTTCTGCTATAATTTCTAGTCTGTAATTCACTTGAGTATTTTTTATCTCATGATTTTTATTGTTTTATCAATTTATAAAACACAAAGAAAAGTAAAAGTAAGAAATTAAGGGAAGGAAAAAGAGAGAAGGAAAAAAATATGAGGTACAAGGGAAGAAAGAAAAAAGCATTGACACCTGACTCTTTTTAGCACATACAAGATAACAACATTACAGCTTAACTTTTTACTTTAACACATTAGTATATAACTAGCCATTTCTATGACAACAAATCTATCTAATTGAAAAAAACAAAATCAAAGTTTGTTTTATCACAAGCACAAAATCCGCAAGTAATGTCCAAATAAACAACATAGTTAAATAGATTCTCCTCTTTGATTAAAACACTCAATTTAACCATTGTCTCATTTTTCCTTGCTATGGAAATAATATGTATTTCTATTTGCACTTAATAATCTTTATAAATGATTATCAATTACATTAACAAAATTCACTATATGTTTTCAGATTCTTTAACCTTAATGGGAAAAAACTTATTTTTCATCCATTTTAAAACATTAAACTTTTCTTTAAAAACATTTCTAAAATCAAAACATTTTAATACATCTTTTTAAAAACTTCCTCTTAACTTACATACTTTAAAGTTCACTTTCAGATCAATAAAATTCCAACTAATTCCAATTAACTCATTAAATTTAGATCACTCCAAATTACCCTCCTAGAACAATTTTTTCTTCTGGTATACATCCTTATCAGAATCAGCCATCTGTAGACCAGACTAATCAAGCCAGAGGTATGTTGCCTCCGTGGAGCAAAAATCAAAGATGTGGCTGAGAACCTACCCAAAATAATAAAACCCACAGATTACTACCCTTTTCTAGTACTACACATAAGGACAAATGACATGAAAATGGAGTTTGTAATTGAGTGATTACAAACAGCTAGGCAGGAAGGTCAAGGAGTTATATCCACAAGTAGTTTTTTCATCTGTACTGCCAATGAAAGGACAACATCCGGTAAGAGAAAAAAGGATTCTAGAAGTGAACCATTAGCTAAAGGGTTAGTGTCATAAAAAGAACTTTGGATTCCTGGACAATGGTCTGCACTACCTCCATGATGGATTTTTGGCAAGGGATGGGCTGCACCTCACAAAAACTGGGAAGAATGTTTTCAGAAAATGTCTGGCTCAACTTATCAGGAGGACTTTAAACTAAAACTAAGGGTGGGGGTGATCAATCTTTAGGATCTCTGGGACCTAATTACAAGCAAAACCCCTAGAAAACAAATCAAATAATGAGGTAAGGAGGAATGGGAAGAAGGCTTCCAGTTTTGTGCTGTTAACACAACAGCCAAGGAATCACACCCTATGACTGATTTCTCTCTATTTGGCAACCCTAAATGGGCCAAAAGCCACCCCAAAGAGGTGGCAAAGGAGAGAAGCCCCACCGGTTGTGGAGAGACAGTAGTCAATCTGGACATACGGGGAAAGTTCTTCAGAAACCAGCCAAAGAAAGGCTAGCATTGTTCTTGAAACTAGCCCAAGCTACATGTAGTCAAAGCCAAAAAATACTAAGTTAAGTGTGATCATAAACAGCGTGATTGAACTGGGTAAGAAAACTGATTTTCTCTCTTTTACCTGATTGATTTCCTGAAAAAAACAAAAAAACAAACAAACCTGGAAGTAAAAATCCTCCAAAAGTGAGGGGGGGGGATTTCTGTTCCATCCTCCTCCAAATGGAAGCAGCAAGTTAAATTTATGGGGAATAGAATTATACAGAAATGAAATCAATATAAGACTTAAATTGGAAAGTGTGAAATCGATGGTTCATGTTAAGATTCTCCTAGAAAAAGATTATTGATGGAAATAAATGGTAATTATTTTGTTTTGAAAAATGAAAAATGAACTGGTGCTGACATCTAGTGGTGGATGAAAATACTGCACTAAATATACAGCCCAGAAAAAAAATTGTTATTGTGACCTCCAGTGCTTTAACTAATTAAAGAACAGCTGCAATAAAAGAAAAGAAAACATTGTGGGCTATCCACAAAGCAAGAACTATAAAACTTAGGGGAAAAATGACCTTCCTGGATTATAAATACATATTAAAATGGGTCTTTAAAGCAGTTGGCAGAGAAAGGAAAACCTGGATTTTTGGTCATTATGGAACATCAGAGGTCTGCAGAAAAAACATATCAAGAAAAAACATATCAAGAAATACTTTCCAGGAGGAATATGTATGTTATGTTACAACAAATACAAATGACATTAATTTCAAACCACAAGGAAATTAAAAATAACTCTGAAAACTTAAATGAACATATTCTCATTTTAATGTCACAACAAACAAATGATCAGAAAATAAAAAGAGAGAGAGATCAAGTAAAGCAGATAACTGAATATAAATTAGAGGAAAGAAACTTAGAGATGGAATTTAATAATGGAAGAAGCTGTGACTTGCAGGAAATACTGGATATGGAAAAGATAACCTATACTTCAAGATTCCAAGAACTTGAGAAAAAAAAGGAGATGTGGAAAACTAAGAGAGAAAGAAAGAAAAAGATTTCTGAGGAATACTTCTACAAAAACACTTGTGCTGGAACGTGCTACATTCCACCAGCTGCTGCTTAAACTGTAAGTTTTGGGAGAATCCACCAGGAAAGTAGCAAGGCCCTGATTGGATCTCCATTATATTTATAGGGTATTATACTCTATTTAAACCCCATTCCAACTCTGATCGGGTTGCTGGAACGTGCTACATTCCACCAGCTGCTGCTTAAACTGTAAGTTTTGGGAGAATCCACCAGGAAAGTAGCAAGGCCATGATTGGATCTCCATTATATTTATAGGGTATTATACTCTATTTAAACCCCATTCCAACTCTGATCGGGTTGCTGGAACGTGCTACATTCCCCCAGCTGCTGCTTAAACTGTAAGTTTTGGGAGAATCCACCAGGAAAGTAGCAAGGCCCTGATTGGATCTCCATTATATTTATAGGGTATTATACTCTATTTAAACCCCATTCCAACTCTGATCGGGTTGCTGGAACGTGCTACATTCCACCCGCTGCTGCTTACACTGTAAGTTTTGGGAGAATCCACCAGGAAAGTAGCAAGGCCCTGATTGGATCTCCATTATATTTATAGGGTATTATACTCTATTTAAACCCCATTCCCACTCTGATCGGGTTGCTGGAACGTGCTACATTCCACCAGCTGCTGCTTAAACTGTAAGTTTGGGGAGAATCCACCAGGAAAGTAGCAAGGCCCTGATTGGATCTCCATTATATATATAGGGTATTATACTCTATTTAAACCCCATTCCAACTCTGATCGGGTTGCTGGCACGTGCTACATTCCACCAGCTGCTGCTTAAACTGTAAGTTTTGGGAGAATCCACCAGGAAAGTAGCAAGGCCCTGATTGGATCTCCATTATATTTATAGGGTATTATACTATATTTAAACCCCCTTCCAACTCTGATCGGGTTGCTGGAACGTGCTACAT